GATTTCCCTGGGACAAAATAGGAGTAGAGTAAGTGAATTATTCATATTAAAATTTTAATGTGGAGCCACCCAAATATTCTTCTTCAACTGGTGAGCTCATCAGGAGCAAGTGAAAGGCCCAACACCCTTGTTTCCTGTTTTTGTCTGTGCTACACTTTGTGGGTCCTGGCATCATCTCGTCCTGGCAAGCTTAGTGGGGTGAGGGCCAAGCTGCCTGGAAGCCACTTCTCATAGGCCCCTGGGGTCACCCTGTGAACAGACCCAGGGAACCAGGGGGATGGGTGGGTCTGAACGAGGGAGTCTGAACCCACTCATGGCATGAAGATGTAGAAATTGCATTTCAGACGCTGAAAACCATGGATTTTGTGCTGGGGTCTGATGGAGATGGTAAAAAATAACAAATCAGTAAATGTTTGTCAATGAAAAGTTAACAACAGGGTATAAATGCAGGTAAATGAAAGTCTTTGTAAAAAACTTTATCACAAACAAGCAATTATAGAATTTTGTGTATCATACGTGGAATTTCTTTTCAATAATCTTGGAGCACTTAATGACTTCAGTAAAAGTAGAAATAATAGTTCTTGGTTTCCTTCATGTTACTTGTTACATAAGTAATAAATCTGTATTTTGAAAATGATTTCAAAAACTCAATGGACCATTGTAATTACCTGAACCAGTTTGTACGTGCCTTTTGAAGGTTCAGAACCATGAGAATGAGTTGATTAGTACATTACTAGATGCTACTTAGAGATCTTAATTTACACATCTAAAAGGCATCAACCTATGCACTCACTGGCCCCTGTGCCTGGTCATTCAGAGACCACTTTGATTCATCTATACAGGTGTGGAGATACCAAGAGGAAGCAAAGATGAAAGCAAACCTGACCTCAAGGTGTGGGGACACTGCAGCCTTGTGGAGGGCAGGACTGGCCTCCCTGATGCTGCTGGGGGAGGGGAGAGGAGGGGAGAAGAGCAGAGGGGAGGGGAGGAGAGAGGAGACGTCTGGCTGGGTCAGAAGTCCCTGAAGGCAGAGAGACACACCCTGAACCTAATTCTAATAAGTCAAACCAGTCTCAGCCTTCCCACAGGGAAGTCAGACTCTCCCAAGGAGCCAGGAAAGAGGAAGGCTTCTCACCTCTCTGGAGTCCACCATGACCTCGGTGACAGTATTGGATGACCCCCCTCCCCCTGTGCCCTTCCCTTGGGTCACTCGTCCTCGGTGGTCAGCAGCCTGTCCATCTGTACATCTGGCTTCATTCTGTCTCACCGTAGTACTTTCACTTTTGTCCAGTGGTACATGAGGTTGACTCCACCCATCACTTTTATTTTCTTATCTGGACGTTCTCTTTGGTGTTTTCACATCTGCTGGGTCGCTTTCTCTGACCCCTTATTCCTTGTTCATACTTTTTATAACCTTTTCTATGTCCTAAAACATAATAGTATTTTATATTGTGAATTAGATGGTTTTAGAACCTCAATTCTCTGTGGGTCAATTCATGCACTTAAGTTTAATAATTTTGGTGGGGCTCTCACAGGTTCCTTGGACTTTATGCCTGGCAGGTGTGGGAGGCCTGGATGTCCAGAGTGCTCTGCCAGAGAGGACAGGCTTCTTGCATTTTGCTTCTCTTGGTACCTTGGGAAACTTCCACTCTGATACCTTAAACTTCATTTTATTTTTTGTGGGTATTTTCACGCCACACAAGAAGTATAAGTTTCAGCACCAAACCCCAAACAGGAGGTTCTGGAGCTCAGAGTGCTTGGGGGACATCTGTGTGTCTCTGCCCTCTTTCAGGTGGGTGTTCTGACTATCCCTTCTCAAGAACAGATATTTTTCCAAGTTTGCTCACTAAACATGCAACTTTTGTGATTTTCTTTCTTTGTGGTTTTCCTTCCTTTATGAAAAAAGAGTCCAATCTGTTCTCCTGTGGGGCTCAGCCCCTGGGCTGTGTCCTCACGCACAGATGAAAATACCTATCCCAGCCGTGCCGGTGCAAATACCAGCGTCAGGGACTGGATTCCTCCCTAAAC